CCCTGATCATCCTCGTGGCCCTCCTCTGGACTTTATTAGCAAGAGTGTTCAGAATATCAAGGGTTGTAATTATCCTGCTTTACCCGACACTGGTGAGTTCACTGGCTGAACTGCGTAGTTCCTGCACTGAAGCACAAGCAATTTTAAGAATCTGGAGGGAGTCTTGCTGGATTTCTGTGAAATCACTGGGAGCTGAAGAAAATGTAATGCGTAGAGAGGTAGAAAGACTTGGTTTTCTTAGGCTGGAGCAATAAAAAGTAAGGCAAGGTGGAATATCACTGCAATCTTTCACTACTAGACTTACTGGCCAAGAAATTACAAAAGGGGCATATTACAAATCACAACAAAGGGGTGTCTGACTGCATAGATGTGAAAAACAAATAAACAAACAAACCCCACACTACACTGCAAGAGATTTCCAGTGAGTGATGAATTTCCACCCTCAAAGTTTTAAAACTTCTCTGGACAAAACCTTGAGACACGAAACCTGACTTAGAAGGTTAGGTCTTCCCCCTGCTTTGAGAAACAGTTTGAGAATGCTTACAACTTAAGTTCATGATCCTGTTGTGTCTGATACCACCATAAGCTTTTCTCATGTATTACTGCAGTGTAAAATGATAACTCAATCTTCTGGATTTCATCATTGTATACTACTTATCAAGAAAACAACACTCACCTGTTTTAGGATAGCCTGCTAGGATCATATCGTTGCTCCAGGTTTCAAAAAATTTCAGAGCTTCCAAAGTTCTGGGCTAGTAAGTGTAGAAATGTAGAATACCTCTATAGCAAACAGTATGCTTTCTGTGGGAACCTTTTCGCCCTGTGAAGACTTGTCCACTATTTCAATGACTCTCCCCCTATTTCTGCTCATGTTTGTTTCCTTGTGGACCTCTTTCCAAAGAAACAGGTACAGGCTGCTTTCCCAATGAAGAAAACATTTATGCAACATATTAGCACAGCAGGTAGGGTGTTTATTCAGGAATGAAATTAAATGCCACATTCATAAGCTTCCATCTCCACATATGAGGCTATTTGTTGATCTAGGTTATATGTTGTCATATAATTTCTGAGCCTTTCTCATGCTGTCATCTATTGTATCTTCTGTCCATGTCTTATTCAAGAGGCAAGTTTTCTTTTAAAGAAATAACAAAACCAATTTTGACATAGTTTATACTTGCTTCTTGGTTGGTTACTTAATCATTTTTGCTAGGAAACTTCCAGGTATCAAGTTAAGGTGACTGCTTTGATTCTTTTTACTCAACCTTTTAAATTTGTGATTTATTTTTTAAATTTATGTATGTCCTCCTCCATGCATTTGGTATCTTTCTAGGTACCAGATAATTTGTAGTTGTTCAAAGATGGCTTGTGTCAGCACTTTCACATAATCTGCTTTTGAATCCACTGATTTTTTTTCCAACTATTTTAAGTATTATTTCTATGCAAAACTCTGCATGTCTACATGTCAAGGCAGAATTAACCAGCTTTAGAAGAATGAAGCAAAAAGTCATTGAACACTTTATTCTTTCCTCGTGTATCTTCTGGTTTTACTTCTTATCTGCTTAGGTGAAGGATCTATAAATTGGGTGTGTTTTTTTCCTATTTGTAATTCAACTATACTTAAAGAACCTTATCTTGCTGTTTTCCAGAACAGGTAGCTGAAATTCCATTTGTCTCTGGACAGGTCTAAAATGCTGTGTGCACGGGGCCAAATACCAATGCCAGTGCAAAATACCCAAATATAGTAATATCTTACACCATTACTGTTGACAAGCCCATTTTCCAATAAAGCCAGTTTCAGCAAATTTTGGCACCTTCAGTTTCAGAGAATTTCCAGTTATGGAAAGTAATTTCTTTTAGTGTTTAAGTATTAATTTAAGGTAAAGCTTAACTATAAGCACATACTTAAATCAAGAAGGAATGCAAGGAACAATAACTGTAGTTTTGTGGTAAGAGCACTCCAGTGGCATTAATGGTGGAAAACATCTTCTGTATTCACTACATTTCCTTTTCCTGTTTTATGGCTGGAGCATAGAAAACATAAAAGCAGTGCTTAGAAGTAGAAAATACCAAGTAGTATAGATTAAGAAGTCTCTTCAAACACAAGAAAGAGACATTAATTCATGATTTTGCTTTTGACTAACCTTTATACAGGCAGAAACATGGTCTTTAGTGGAACAAGTACAAATTTATATAATATTAAAAAAAATTATCAGAGACTTTTATGATACAAAGAGAGAATTATTCATGGTTATACATATTAACAGAGTATTCCCTAGATTCCTGGGATTCTTGGAGAAGTAAGGGGGCAGCTCAGCAGAATTGCCACCCTGGACTTCCAGAGGGCAGACTTTGACCTGTTTAGAAGCCTGGGTGACTGAATTCCTTGGGAGGCAGTCCTGAAGGGCAAGAGTCCAGGAAGGCTAGACATTCTTCAAGAAGGAAATCTTAAAGGCATAGAAGCAAGCTGTCCTCATGTGCTGAACAGAGAGCTTTGTCCGGAATTCAGGAAAAAAAGGAGTTTATGGCCTTTGGAAGAAGGGGCAGGCAACTCAGGAGGACTACAAGGATGTAGTGAGGAAGAAAATTAGAAGGCCAAAGCCCAGCTAGAATTTAATCCAGCTACTGCAGTAAAAGAGAATGAAAAATATTTCTATGAATACATTAGCAAAAAACAAGGGCTAAGGAGAATCTCCATCCTTTACTGGATGTAGGGGTAAACAGAGTCACAAAGGATAAGGATGAGGTATTTAATGTTTTCTTTGCCTCAGTCTTTAATAGTAAGACCAGGTTTTCTCTGGGTACGCAGCCCCCTGAGGTGGAAGACAGGGACAAGCAGCAGAATGAAGCTCCTGTAATCCAAGGGAAAATGGTTAGTGACCTGCTGCATCACCAGATAGAATCCACCAAAGCGTACTGAGGGAGCTGGCAGAAGTGCTCACTAAGCCACTTTCAATCGTGCATCAGCAGTCCTGGGTAACTGCTGAGGTCCCAGTTGAGTGGAAGCTAGCGAATGTAATACCCATGTACAGAAGGGCTAGAAGGAGGATCTGGGGAACTACAGGGCTGTCAGTCTGACCTCTGTGCTGGGGAAGGTTATGGAGCAGATCATCTCGAGTGCCATCAAGTGGCACATACAGGACACCCAGGCAAGTAGGCCTAGTCAGCATGGGTTTATGAAAGCCAGGTCCTTCTTGACCAACCTGATCTCCTTCTATGACAAGGTGGCCTGCTTAGTGGAGGAGGGAAAGGCTGTGGATGTTGTCTATGTAGACTTTGGTAAAGCCTTTGGCACCATTTCCCACAGCATTCCTCTGGAGAAACTGGCTGCTTGTGGCTTGGATGAGTGTACAGTTTGCTGGGTAAGACTGGCTGGATGGCTGAGCCCAAAGAGTGGTGGTGAGTGGAGTTAAATCCAGTTGGTGGTCAGTCATAGGTGGTGTTCCCCAGGGCTCAGTGCTGGGACCAGTTCCCTTTAATATATTTATCAACAATCTGGATGGGGAGGTCAAGTGCACCCTCAGTAACTTTGCAGATGACACCAATCTGGGTAAAAGTGTTGATCTGCTGGAGGATAGGAAGGCTCTACATAGAGATTTGGACAGGCTGGATCAATAGCCTGAGGGCAACCGTATGATATTCAATACAGCTCAGTACAAGGTCCTGCACTTGAGTCACAACAATGCCATCCAACAGTACAGGCTTGGGGAAGAGTGGCTGGAAATCTGCTCAGAGGAAAAGGACCTTGGTCAAGAGCCGCCTGAATATGAGCCAGCTTGTGTCCCGGTAGCCAAGAAGGCCCCCTGTGCTCAGAACTGGTAACACCTCACCTTGAATACTGTGTTTAGTTTTTGGGCCTGTCACTACAAGGAAGACATTGAGGTGCTGGAGTGGGTCCAGAGTAGGATAACAAAGCTGGGGAAGAGCCTGGAGCACAAGTCTTACAAGGAGCAGCTGAGGGAACTGGGGTTGTTTAGCCTGGAGAAACAGATGCACTGGAGAGACCTTATCACTCTCTACAACTACCTGAAAGGAGGTTGTCACAGGGTGGGTATCTGTCTCTTCTTCTATGTAACAAGTGATAGGACAAGAGGAAATGTATGTAGGTAGTATATTAGGAAACATTTCTTCACCAGAAGGGTTGTCAAGCACTGGCACAGGCTGCCCAGGGAAGTGGTTGTGGCATCATCCCTGGAGGTATTAAAAAGCTGTGTAGTGGTTAGGGACAGGGTTTAGTGGTAGACTTGGCAGTGCTAGGCTAACTGTTCTTCATGATCTCAAAGATTTTTCCCATCTGAATGATTCTATGATTCTATAACTCTGCACTTCTCAGGTCACACCTGGAGTACTGTGTCCAGTTCTGGTTACCACAGTTCAGGAAAGACACAGACAGTCTGGAAGGGGTCCACAGGAGGGCCATGAAGATGATAAGGCTCATTAGAGTATTCTAATACTTAACAGGTATGTACAAAGAGGACAGAGGCTCTCTATTCACAAGGAGCCACATGGAGTAGATAAAGGGCAATGGATACATGTCATGCACCTGGAGAGGTTTCATCTTGATATAAGAAATAAATTCTTTCCCAGGAATGTTGTAAAGTCATCATCATTGGAGGTTTTCAAAATGCAATAATCTCATCTAGGCCCCTTTCCCATTGAAGGTTGGACCCTATGATTGTTCAAAGTCCCTTCTAACCAGGGTTGTTCTACAATTCTATAAAAGCAGTGCCTCAGAGTGGATTTTGCATGTTAACTCCAGCACATATTCTGAAATCCATCTTGAAATTTCGCATTCAGAGACATTAAAATCCCAAAGAATGTTGATCCCTATTCTCCTTCATTCTCCTCCCACCAGTTCTTGCTGAAGTTATGAGGAAGATATCCTTTGTCATTAATTAAGGTTATGTCAAAGCCATATTTTAACTAGTAACCTTTTCTGTGAAGATATTGCCTGATTTGAAACATATTTTAAAAATTCTAAGTATTAAATAGTTATAAGTAATCCATAAAGACTGGGTTTGGCTGGAAAGAGAAAAGTGTCATTTCCTTTTGGGTGACAGCTACTGAAACATGACTGTTAAGTTTATCTTAATATGGTTAGTTGTCATCTTCTTCAGCATAAGAGTGTAGCCAAAGTAAGCAAAAGACCTCACCTTTAAAACGAAAGCCCACTATTCATCACTATCACTGTAAAGGCTGCTGCAATGTGATTATTACAGTAATTCTAAGGTGCTTGGATCATTTGATCTAGTTTTCTAGTATATGGCTATCAGATGACCTGACAGTGCATTGGGAAGCTCTTGCTCCAACCGCATTTCATTAATTTTCAGGCTTTAGAGTACTGTTCATAATTTAACTTTGTTCTCAGTTTAGTTCCTTTTATACGTTCTTCAAATTCTTCATCCATTTTCTTATTCTGATCTTCACTGAAAAGATTCTTCCAGACACTTACACCACCTTCAAAGAGGCAAAGAAACTCTTTAAAACCAAGAAATTGTATTAATTTTTATTCTATAGACCTGTCATTCTTGTCCCATTGTACACTAAATGGAGTTATCAGTTTTTTCAATATAAAGCTTCACTCGTTTTTGCACCAGTATAATTTCATGATGTCAGTGGAGCTACAGATCTGTGAAATTGCCATAATGCAAAAGTGCGTTCTTCTCTTCAGATGACCCTGTCCAAAAAAAGCAGCCTAAAATCCTGTCTCCCTGCAACTCTCTACTCCAGTCAGTTATGACTGACAAGATGGAAGATCATGAAGGCTTGATTAAGAATCGTGTGGCAGGAGGCAGAGTTGGAGTTTTGCTCTCTTGGCAGCTTGAGCTTTTATTCAGTGACTTCTTTAATGTAAAATGAAGAAATAGATTCTGATAGCTATACTGGTCCTCTCATGTCAGTGTCTCCCAAACCACATCGTAAAAGTAGTTCTCTTTTGTTTCCCCTTCTCTGTATACGTGATTCTTGAATGCTTGGGTCACTTCTTAACTGTGAGTGTGAACAGAGGCTTGGTTTTGGCCCTTTCAGGAGATCCTACACTCTTCTAAAAAGTGTTATCATGCCACTTAGACTGAGTTTCACTCTGTTTTGCCTGTTCAGGTCAGCCTCTAATGGCTGAAAAACTAGTGGTCTTGGAACAGAGATGGAGAGGAGTTCAGACACATGACAGAAAGTTCCTCCTTCCTGACAGTCAGTTTTGGGCCTCTAAAAGCTACCTGCTGCCAGAATCTTGCTGGGCCTCTTCCTCAGTAGTGTTCCTTTACTAGTCTTCTCAAGCATAACAGCGATAACCTGTTTGATACTAATCTGTAATGCTAATATGTGTGCAAAAAAGAAGCAAATGATGAGTGGCCCAAGTTCTTGTGAGTGTGACATTTCTGCCTCTGGACCTCTTGGAGCTTCCTACCTTTGTGAAAGAAAACATCACCATGTTTCTTTTGGGTCTTCAGCGAGTTCTTCTTCATTGACTGGAAGCTGCTCCTCTCTACCACACTCTGAAGCTCTTTTTCAGTCAGGCAAACCCCAAAGAAAGAAACTATGTTTTTAAAGCCCAGGACTGGATTCTGAAAAGAGGAATGTAACATACTACATGACATTAGAACAAATTACGCTGCTTTCTGAGTTGTTTGCATTTCCCTGCATCTCTCTACTGGCTACATTTATAGAGTATCTGTAGAATTCAGTAGGACTGGAGTAGTACATAGTGTTTCCCTCCTCCTTAGTTATTTCAGAGGAGATGCGAGCTGTCATCCTATAGATCACAAAAGTTTGTGTGTGATTTACAGTTGAGCAAAATCCACACTGTTAAATATGTAAAGCTCCCCCCCAAAAAAAAAAAAAAATTGCTAAGGATTTTGATTTACAGTGATTCAGGAAAAAGAAAATAAGAATCATTTTAACAAACAAAATTTTTTAAAGACTTTCAAGTTTGAATTTCATCTTTCTTTCCCTTAAAGCAATAATCTACCTATCTCATACAGCAGTTTGAATATACTACATGAACATAATGGTTAGTTGGTTTAGGACCACTCTTTGAAGCAAAATGTATTTGTACCTATTGGTAACCTCACCTCTTTTAGCTCTTCATAAGTTACCGTCATAACATTTTCATCAGCAGCATATTTGTTCCATTTGTAATGGTACTCAAAGTAACATCCCCAGGGCACTAAGTAAAATCAAAATTTCCTAAGATGAAACATAAATGAAAATTCGACAAGCTCTTTATTAAATAAACCAATTTTTACTCTTTAAGTTGGTCAATCAGCCATGGTCATTATTAATAATGTCTATGCCAGAATTTACACCCTTCTGTGGGAATGATGGGGTTTTGCTCCAGGCTGTTCTGACACATGTACAGGTCTTGGTAAACTTCTTAGTATTTTAATACAAGTGTGAGTTCACTAAAGAGTTATGACCATCTTGTAGACTCCTTTAATCCAGTTTAAAACCTTGTTTAACTTCTGCTTCATGTGACAGAAACAGGGCATGTGATGTGCCAGACTGAAGAATGCATGCAATTTTAAACAAGTGGGATTATTTTCTTTCTTATTTAATGCAAAAACTTAAAACAAATAATTCCTCTGGTCCAGCTTGGCAAGGTGTTTAGATGTCTGTGGGTGCACAAGGTGATGGATGTTGGAGAGGAGGGGTAAAGGTGATCCAAGATAGAGATAAGGAGGGACTGCTTCTTCCGAAAAAAAATATCAACTTGTGCAAGTTGAAGCAGTTTGTGAAAGTGAAGTTTTGATAAGGATTTATCTGCAGGCATAAGACAGGCACTGTAAACTTCAGTTCAAATGTCTGTCTTTAATCTGCTTTTGCACTGTAAACCCAAAATCCTAATGAAGTTGATTTACAAAGTACAGGGTTACAAAGTCAAAACATTGAATAATTGACACAGCCAGAATAATATACTGTACTTTTTTTTTGTCGTGAAAACTATGAAGAAATCATCCCAGGTCTCGTAAGAGGAAAGATGAGACATACCATTGGAAAAATAGCAAAAAGATGTAGTTACATCTTTTGGGTTGCAGATCAGCAACAATATCTAGAATAAAATAAAGTATTTGATTTGTAGAGAAAAACATAACAGACTGTAATATGAAGAAAACAGTAATTTACAATTTATAAATTTATAATTGCAATTTCTAATATCTCCTATCCTACCTGCAAAAGTAGCAATTTCATTCTAAATTCAGAAAGTGAAGAATTTTACTTTGCTTCAGTACCCTGTGAAGATGATTGCATATAATTATTAAAATATCTTTTACAGATTAACCAAATGAATTATGCAAAATCTATGCATGTTTTTTTTTTATACATACGTCATTCAACATTTAGGTAGTGGGGAAAATTCACAAAAATACAAATTCTTGACACGCTGAAACCTTCACTTGTGAGAACACCAAAAGATGCATCCCATAAAAAAAAGTGTCAAAATACATTTTACTGCTTTGTTCCACCATCTCGCTTGTGAAAACTGACACAAAGGTGTCAATAAGGATGAACTGAGATTACGTGAGATGAATGGCAGAAATTAAACCAGGCTAAACACTTAAGAACAAGAGTGATTTTACAGAAAAATACTAAATTGTCTTCAAAAAGAATCTGTTGGAGTGTTTGCTTTCAAGATTTTAAAATCAGTACTCACCTTGGCTTTATTTCTGAAGATAGAACTGGGAAGATTTTTAGGAAGGAGATGAGCAACCGTAACTCTTTGAAAGGGCAATCTGTTCGTCCGCTTTAAGAATTGGAAGGAAGAAAGTAGACCATTCAGTACAAGTATTAGTTTCATCAGCCTATGATAAAATATTGTCTTCTTCAACTTATCAAGAAACTGGTTGATAGAAGTACTTATTTTTTGTGAGTGGTATCCTGGGATCTTAGTAGACTGCTCTGAGTAGCTCTAACTTTCAATAATGCCTGAGAATAGGTGCTTGGAAAAAGATTAACCATTGCTAATTCTCTTCAGCGATAATTAATATAACGTGTTCTGTTAGACAAGGGATCAAATTGAAAGGTAAGATTAAAGCTCTAACTGGTGGTATGTGAAAGCTGAAGGATCTCAAGGACAGAGAGAAGGGGTAAGGAAGATTAATTAGTAAGACAAAAGCCACTATTTCAGTACTTGAAATTTCATTAAACTCTTCTCAAATACTAAAGAAGCCACATCACTGAATTTCTGCATTTGTTGTGTATCGAATGAGTATGTACTCCTATAAAGCCCTCTGAAGTATCCACTTATCACTCAACATACGGCAATGCAGATGAAATTCATCCTGACCAGATGCCACATACTGAGAAGTGGGAGAGTTCTCATCAAATTGGACTATTTCACACAGCATATATTCAGTATTTGAAGCACAACATTTTGACAACTTACACATGTATTCTGTGCCCACATCGTATTTCCCAGTATCTCCCATTTCAAGGTAGGGGAATTATTGCATTTTTTTGTAATGCATGCTGCTTTCTTTATTCTGCGCTTTCTTTTAAATATGGCTACCAGATCATTTAAGACTTGACCCAGCCAGTTTGTGCCTGAAAGGGGAAAAATACAGAATTGTTTGTAAAACCTTTAGAATAAACAGAAACGGATTTTCCAGGAAAGCCAAGAAATAGATTGTACTACCAGGTGAGTTGCTTGGTCTCCTGTCATGTGATAGAATCACATTTGACTATCTGAACAACCGCCTGTCAGGTTCTTACCTTTATTATTTGTAAGAGCAGATTTCTCCAACTCAAATGGCTCAGTACATTGTAGATTAACTTGTGTATTGTAAATTAACTTGTATGTTGTAAATCAGCTGATACCAGAGAAGGACCACGTATGATTCAAATAGGAAAACATGCAATAACGGTATACATTTTTTTTGGTGACAAATATAATGGGATTTGGAGTGGCTAACCTGTACCTCTACCTAGTATAGGATATGTTTTCTGGCATGATGCATAGGATTATTTTGGGATGAGTGGTGGGTCACTGAACTTGAATGCAGGAGCAGAACTAGATCTGAAAATCGTTCTGTATGTGTTCATTTTATTTACCAATTAATAAAAATTCTCTAAAGTGACATTTCCTATACACATTTGCTATTTTTTTATTCAAAACATCTTTAATTTATTATTTCCTGACTTCTAGACACTAGGTTCCTACATCTTTTCACTACAGTCTCAATAACTGCATTCTGTTGCATAACATTTCTTCCAAAAAAAAAAAAACTTTACAATCCTGTCAACTGTGACTGGAAGACAGAGTGAACCCAATTGGTGGAGAAGAGAAACAGCTACATTAAAATGGGTATGAGAAAATCTAATTCAAACCAGTAGCTCTGCTATGGGCCGATACAGGGTGCTTTCAGGAAAAAGGAGCAAAGATGTACAGTAAACTTGCAACCCTAGCAAAGATCTCCTCTTGATTTTCCAATAGCCAAAGATCAGTGTGATCACTTCAAACGTTAAAAAAAGTCAGATATTCTTGACCTCTATAAAACTAAAACAAACAAACAAACAAGCAAAACTAAGGAATATACAGCACAGCATGTGAAGGTACCAAAATCTTCATTTTGTGTAAAAACATAAAGCTATTAACATTATAAATATAAATGTTAGAGCTCCTGCAATATCAGGAGATCTAGTTACCTCTGGTATGAGAACTGTATTTTAATTCTCTTTAATTTGTGCATTTAACTTGGTAACTATAAAAGTTAAAGATAACAAAAGCTTTTACATGCTATAGAAAAACAAATCATTTGAACAATTCCATATATAAAATCTTCATAACTAATTTTGTTGTATTTTTTGAGAACAAAATTAGTTCTGCAATATTTTGTTTCTAAATGATATTATCTAGTATAATATATACTATTATATACCATATAATATATATTTATATATTTAGTACAAACCTACTTATTTGTCATTGCATAACTTTATTTATGAAGAAAGCAAACTATATTCACCAGATTTAGGGTATCTTGCCAAAATATCATCCCTTCTGGCTTCAAGGAAGTCCATGGCTCTGAATACTTCAGGACTGCAAAAAGTAGCAAGGTAGAGAAGCCCCTTGTAAGAAAAAAGCAGTTTGTCACTATCCACTGTGTTAGCAGCCACCATTGCTTCATTTATGATATCGGAAAATGTTTTCCTGGACTTCTCCATTCTTCAATCTTTGTCACGCACACAGGCTTCCTCACAGTGTGAAGTACTATGCAGAAAAAGAGACAGACCTTTTAATAGGGGGTTGATTGTTTGCTTTTTTGACCCTTCGAGCAATAATTTACTACTCTTTCTGAAGCTATAAAGAAATACGCAACTGCAGTCAAAGACCTTAGCTCATTTGAACTGTTTGAAATTAACAGAAGTTGAACATAAACAAGATAAAACAAGAAAATGCGATTGCATTCTAGCTTATAGGCCTTAACTAACTTCAAAATATGCCAAAAAAAAAAAAAATCTGTAATTACAGCACAGAGTTTAGAAGCAAGTTATTTCAAGATACAGCATTGTGAACTGCAGGCTGGGGTTTAAATGGCACAACCACATTCCTTATGGGAATTGTGCTCTTTCCAGCACTCAGTCTGCTGGGATTTCTTTTTTTTTTTTGTTATACCACTGATCATTCTCAGCAAAATGGGATCAAATGTATTGGTACTGGGAGAAAAACTGTTCGTTGTGCAGGAGGAGCAGGAGGACCAGCAGTTGCATACCTGTATACTTTTGCCATTTACTCACCCAGATAGATTCATGCCTGGTACCTGAGGTGTGCTGCAGTGCTCACAGGATGACCTAGCTCTACATCTTGACATCAGTTTTGTTCAGCCCATAGAAATCTTTTGCTTTTCTCTTCATGTCCTCTTTTCTGGAAAACTCTGTCAATATACAAAGACCACCTGAAAAAGTGGACATCATACAGCTCTTCCTCAGTCCATTTGTTGAATGAGATCTGTGCCAAAGCACAGCCAGTTGGCACTACCTGCATCCCTGCTTTGATGTTATCTAAAAATTGCTATACCATAAAATAGCACCTTTACTGATTTTTGAAGTGTAACCAGCAACATTAGCAAAACAAAGAAGCAGCCAGCCTTAATGTTTTTCCTTTACCTTCCCTTTGTATTAAATTGTTATGGACTGAAGCTAAGAAAATGTGTTTAATTGATATTTTTACTTGTGAGAAAAAAAAAAAGGGGGGGGGTTGGACAGTAAACATTCCCTAAGGAAGGAAAAAAAGGGGAAAATGGTATGTGAATTATTGATGTATTTCATGCAGTAGCACAGTGTTGGAATAGGATTTCCATAATAGAAAGACAGCTCATTTCAGTCCTACACTTTACTCATTGCAGAATAATCCAAAGAAACTTTGATAGAGAAAATCCAGATTTCCAGTGTATTTTTGCCAGAGAGGGCAGTCAGGCCAATTATTCCTTGGACGATGTTTTATCCTTAGGAACAAAAAAAAAACCAAACCCCAAAAAACAAAACAAACAAAACAAACAAAAAAAAGTATTAGTGGAGAAAAACCAATTAGAAAACGTAAGTCATGAGGAGGGATTTTGAGAGGAGTTAAATTTCTTGGTTTAGTAATTTGAACCTTTGATACAGCCATCTGTCACTACACCTGAGCCAGGAGATGGGAGGAGTGTACCTTGCACCATACATGTTACACAAGAAGACCCTCGGATCTGCCAAATACTGAACCAGGAGACTGATGGAAAACATCAGCTGATTTAAAGTTTCTAAGAAGCAGCTTTAAAAACATGGAGATTAAAAACAGATTAAAGTATTTGGTAATCTCCAGATTAATGGTATTTATTGTTCAGTGCCTCTGAAAGTTTCTGACTTACCATACTTATCAGACCTTGTCTTTCCTGACTGTGGAGATTTGCAGAAAGAGGCTTGTGGCCTTTAATGTGTTAGCAACAGAACACTGTCAGCTGGCAGTTGCCTAGTGAATTGATCTGCTTATGCAGATCCATTCCCTGTTAAGTGAAACAACAAAGCAATACCCTCAAAACTTTTGATCTTGGGTGGTAAATGAGAAGAGGTGGTGTTTTGTAAGTATTCCTATGGGTTGTATTAGTCTCAGTAAAACTCTGGAGAAGGCTTTCATAAATTAGTCCTCCAAAATGACCTAATAAGGTTCAAGATGGATCCATTAAGATTGATCCATTCATGAAGGTACTGTAAGATCCTCCTGACCATCCATCTGCAAAAAAAAACCCACAAACTTCAGGAGGGGGACATTCCCTGGAATCCTATGAATGAGTCCACGAAAAGTACATCTTAAAGTAAAATTGACTCTATGTTGGAAATGTATATGGGACATTTTTTCCCTTTGCATAATTTAGCAGAAACTATACAGGTAAACCCAAACAATACCTTGCACAGATAATCCCAGACCCATCAAAGTAGCCATCAGCTTGCCAAAGGCCCAGAGGAGCACACGGAGACAAAGGCAGGCAGTCCTTCTAGTCTTGTTGCAGGAAAGCATCAGCCCCAGTGTCCTGATTTGAAGACAATCCGTTAAGATGAACAGTGCTGGAGCACCTTTTGATGATTGGCAAAACTGCTACCTGGGGGTATAGGCACATTAAAGGGGCAGGACTTATTATGTCAGGAGTACATGACAGGTGTGAGACAAAGGCCACAAAAATTATTTACCAGCCTGCATGACACTATTACTATTTACTTAAAAATAAACGAAATACTGAAACAGAGACGAAAAATAATCCTCAGTACAAGATCTGGGCTTGTTTTCTTGACGACTCTAAAAACCTGTTTGAGCTGGGATCCAATCTATTGTAACATTCTCTAGGATCCTCTTTCCTCTTTTGTTTTCCTCTTGAGTTGTAGAGTCTTATTCGTGATGGGCCCTTTCCCTGAACACATATATGGTCACAACAACAGATTAGAACATTATCCCTTGGATACAGAAACATACGCAGCTCTTGTTTTGTCGCTACTCAAAATTTCCCAAGTGTCTCTTCTAAACTTTTCCTCTTGCAGGTTTTTTTGGCCTCAGCTTTGCTGTCTCTTCAGATTTTCCACTCCCGTAATCCCCTCCTCTGGAATAAGGTAGGAAATAAGCAATTTTCCACAGCTTTCATCATCTCTATTAATGTATTGGCTAGTTGCCAAAGTACAGATGCAAAGGCTAACTGCCCTCTCCCTTGCGTTAATACTCCACTAGGTAATAAGAAAGAGTATGCCAGCAAATCAGAAAATTTCATGACACACAATGTTGGAGAAATAATCTTCTTACACAAAACTGAAGACGTCAGCTGTATGTCAACAGACTCCTCAAACCTCAAATCACCAAAACATTTATTTCCTTTCATGTTTATCTGATCTTTCCCAACCGTATGAGTGAAATTAATTTTAAAAGTTGGAAGCCTCTGATGAGAACTTTGTTACCAAATAAACGTGCAAATGGAGGAGTCAGGCCAGTGACCTCAAGTCACCTGTTGCCTTACTGTGTGTCTATATGACCTGATATTACAAGAGGAAGTGAAAGAAATAGGAAGGAGGGAACAAAGAAGAATGTTACAAAACACTCACTGGTGTTATGGAGGACTTTTTGATTCTTGCTGATGCACTGAATGTCCTATGTCCTGCAAACCTGTCATTAGTCCCATTATGGTCTATGCCCCTCAAATAGTCAATGCTCTCAAGCCCGTAGTACAGAAGTAATTCTGTCGTGCAAGCAAAGTGTAACGTGGTGATACGAATGAGGCCAAATACTAAATGCAAATGTAAAATGTGCTAAATAAAGCTGATTAAAGATGTATCTTGAAACAGGTCATCCAGATGCACTAAAAATAATTAGTCCTGTCACATTCTTTGAGGAAAAAAAAAACACCACAATTTAAAGTACATGAATTTGAATGCGCCAGTCGAGATCATCAAAGCAAATGCAACTTTCTCAGCAGGGCATATGAGACATCAGTGGATATATTCCTAGAAGAGCTGGAAGTGTGTAGCTTTGGTCTTAAGCATAAAGTCAAACTAGTGCATTTCACAGGAAAAAGACAATTTAATTTATTGCCTGAAGATTGTATTTTAACTGTTTTTTCACTTAACTTATCAAAGACCTCTAATTGTATTCAAATACTGTAGCATCAGGACTGGAAAATCATGCAAAAAGAACCAAGTAAAAAAAATGAAACAGAGTGGTTTTCCCTGTTTTTTTTCTTTTTTTATATGTATTTCTCCATGGATTTTGTTGAGTCACAGTTATGACACTGTTAATTAATCTTCTAGAAAGTTTAAAGAAGAACTGCAGCTAATAGCCTGTGGGCTAATTCAGATGCTGACTAGCTGACTACCAGGCCAACGTGGGCAACAACAATAATGTCATGGTTTAAACCCAGCCAGTAACTTAGAATCGCACAGCTGCTCCATTACTCTCCCCCTCCCCTCCCTGGGCAGGATGGGGAGGAGAATCAAAAGAATATAAATCCCATGGGTTGAGATAAGGACAATCCAGTAACCAAAGTACAATATAATAATAATAACAACAACAATAATGGAAATAACAAGGGAAGAGAATATAAAACTAACAGGGAAAAGTTTAAAAAACAATAAACACAAGTGATGCACAATACAATTGCTCACCATTTACTGACCGATACCCAGCCCGACCCAAGTAACAATCACTCCCTTCTGGTGACACCCCCAGTTTGTATACATGTTTATACACAGTTTTATACATCACATGTTGTGGTGTGGTATGGTATTCCCCTTTGCCTAGTTCAGGTCAAGTGGTCTGTGTTTGCTGCCTTACGGCTTCTTGTGCCGCCTTTCCCTGGCAGAGCATAAGACTGAGAAGTCCTTGGTCAGGGTAAGCACTAACTTAGCAAAAACTAAAACACCGGTGCATTGACAGCGTTGTTCTCAGACCAAAGCCAAAATACAGCACTGCACCAGCTACTAGGAAGAAAATCAACTCTATCCCAACTGAAACCAGGATAAATAACAACCTATTTACTCTTGGCCTATGATCTACTGCTTTCTTTCACCTTCTGTTGTCCTCTGAGGGACTAGGCAAGCTTCCTGTGCTCCACATGGTGTGTTGAGGAGGAGGACAAGGGCTGTAGTGTGTACTGGTGGAAACAAAACTGGGACATGGGAGGAGGACATAGGGCTTTGTATCTGTACCCTCCTACACTTATAGGGTGTGGAGGTGAGGGTACAGGACAGATTAATTGACGTAAGAAAATAGAGAGGGAAACAATAATTTGAGCATATCTTCCCTAGAAAAGCACAGTTCACAACCATCTATAGGCAGTTTAGCCAGATTGAAGTTTAATGGTAGTTAGTGCAGGAACAAGAGTTAAAAGCTCAGACATCATTGTGTGATAAGTACTTTTCTGCTGCTTCAAGGTAAACTTAGAAGCATAGCTCTTTTTGGTAGCATCACCTCTAACAAACACTGAGAAACAGAGATGGTTCCATGCAGAGCTTCTCCAGATACCTGTGCTGCATTTCCTTGTCCTCTGAGTGCAGTGCTGGACCCAGGCTGGTTCCAGCATTTGTGCTGCACTGAGCTTTAGCAAACAGTTTTTCCTAGAAGAAGCACATGTAGACCTAAGTGCAGAGATACTTAACCACTTCCTCAGGGACCAAGATGATGCCAAACAGGCAATTCAAGCCCTGCAAGACACAGTCTAACAAAGTCACTGTATCAGTATTGGGCTTCTCAGAATGCCTTCTGGTAGCCATATAATAAGACTTCCTCAGTGTGAACACAAAAATCTAATAATTGCCTGTTTCATAGAATCATAGAATGGTTTGGGTTAGAACAGACCTTAAGATCATCTGGTTATAACCCCCCTGCCATGGGCAGGGACACCTCACACTAAACCATGTCACCCAAGGCTCTGTTCAACCTGTCCTTGAGCACTGCTCTGCCGCACACAGCATCTCACTGTTTACAAATGACAAAATTCCTGCATTGTATTTTCTTCCCAAGCAAACCTAGTGCTCATGAATAAGGAATTATTTTTGCAAAGGCATGTGCCAAAGTAGCTGACATTCCCCTGCAATGTCCAGGCAATCTGCATCAGTTATAACCAGAGGGTAAACCCTAGAGCTAAGCAGTGAGTCCACTCCCAGACCTCACCCAGCACGCAGGGAAAAGTTCAGCTAAACACCATCCATGCAATATGAGCTCTTCC